TGTTGTTGTTGTTGTTGTTGTTGTTGTTGTTGTTGTTGTCGTTGTTGTCGTTGTTGTCGTTGTTGTCGTTGTTGTCGTTGTTGTCGTTGTTGTCGTTGTTGTCGTTGTTGTCGTTGATGTTGTTGGCGTTGTTGTTGTTGTTGTTGTTGTTGTTGTTGTTGTTGTTGTTGTTGTTGTTGTTGTTGTTGTTGTTGTTGTTGTTGTTGTTGTTGTTGCTGGTGTTGGTGCTGTTGCTGTTGCTGTTGTTGTTGTTGTGAACAGTTGTTGTGAACAGTTGTTGTTGAACATCTGTCAGACGTGCCCATATACCGGCTAAATTACGTTTTGAATACATTGCATGGGTTTGGTAAGGTCATGTGGTACCAGCAAAAAGTAAATACACATATAGCAAGAGTTCCGTGTACCTACGTGGTACGTAGCTGAAAACAAAGAAGTACCAAATCGTAATAGGGAGTTTAAGCTTCGAAACGGCAAACGGCATAGTCGAATTTTGTTGGCAGAATTTCTGCTTAACTTCTTTGCTTCATCTTCTCGTTCTTCGTCTCAAAAGAATCATCATACATGACAGTCTTAAAATAGCAAGTTGATTTCCCATTTATTACCTTGTAGCGTAATTTTTTTCTTCCCCTGGCGTTTGCCATTTGACGTTTGAACGCGAAGCTTAAACTCCCTAATATTGGCGTACCTCCAGTACGTAAGTACGCGAATTATCGCACCCTGAATATTGCTTAGTGAAACCCTCCGAATATAAAATATCTCGATTTAGAACGAATCAACCGAGTCCCGTCAGAATTCTTTGAGCCAGAGTGGCGCCCAGACCGGCTACTTGAGTGAAACATCGTTCACCAAACCGAACCTTATATTAAAAATCAGAGCGCCAACTGACCCCATACCTAACCCTGCAAGCAACGTGACGTCAGCTTTGAAGAATATTGATCAAGATTATGACGTCATTGGCACAGGAACCAATCACGTGCTGCTTCAGTCGTATTTTGATCACAGTGATAAAGTTTTTAAAGAAAGTCACCAACAGTATCTGCAGTATCATGCTGAGAAAGATGACGATAACTCGATCAGGTAGAGTGAGCTTAATTGAACAGTATCTTGACAGGCCCTGGAATGACTGGATGAGGTTTTCAAAACAATGAAAAGACAATGGAACATTCTGATCACTGGATCATGACTGGATGACATGGAGAACAGTGGGATTTTCAAAACAATGTAAAGACAATGGAACATTCTGATCAGTGGATCATGACTGGATGGCATGGAGAACAGTGGGATTTTCAAAACAATGAAAAGACAATGGAACATTTTCATCACTGAATTGTGATGGCATGGAGAACAGTGGGATTTTTTAAACGAATGAAAAAACAATCCTTAAACATTCCCATCACTTAATCGTGTCTGGTTATGGTACTAGGAACATTTACTTGATCGGTTTATGGTTAGTTTGGTCTCTATACGTTGTAGCGTTTTCTGTTATAGGTTACCAAAAGTACACTTTTTGACCCCAGGAAGATTTGTTACTGCTGGGATGCAAACCTCTCCAGGTTCGAACACTAGTTTTTAAACTAACTAGGAAATAAATATGCAGTTGGCCGATTAGAATTTCGCCTCAGTTGCATGTGAAAGATTAGTCTAAGATTGTTTCCAGTTTGCAACCATAGGTTTAAAACTGAACACAGGAGTAAGCTGTGATACATGACCCTTGCTGGACCTCTGGGGAGAACAGTTTGGATACAATGACACAGAGAACAATTAAGGAAAAACACGTTTAACTATTTAAACATTTTCATCTCACAAAATATTTCCTTACTAGATCAAGTGAACACCGTTATTGCGCATTGGTCTGGAGCATGTCATGGTTTAGTTTATTCACTTGTCAAATCGTCAAAGGGTATTTCATGTTGTATTTAATATAGTGTCTAGCATGGCCGGATTTTGGGGGGAGGTGCGTACCTCCCTTGAAATTGTTTTGCACCTCCCCTCAGAATTTTTGCCCCTCCCCTGAAAAATCATGCACCTCCGCTTGGGAAAGTTTCATTTTTTGGTTGCTTAGGGTCTACACGTCGTAAGAAAGTTTTTTCTGTAAAATTGAAACAGTGATAGCTTTTCATCTCTGTATCAAGTACCCTTTTAATGCGATGTTTTGAAAGAAACTTTGTGCCCTTATGAGTGAAATTTTGATCTAGATATGCCTGGACAAAAATTTCATCACAGCTTGAAAGAGCATCACAAAATTAGTAATATTCCGAAGTTTCGTTGCGAAATGTTGTAAAATACGGATAATATAGCCCTGCGAAATTTGCCGTTTTTCAGTCATTTTGTATTACAAACGGGAAATTGATAATCAGTTTGATCATCTGATTATCAATTTCTCATGCGTAATGCAAAATGACTGAAAATTACAAACTTCGCAAGGCTATATTATCCGCATTTTACAACATTTCGCAACGAAACTTCGGAATATTACTAATTTTGTGATGCTCTGTCAAGCTGTGATGAAATTTTTGTCCAGGCATATCTAGATCAAAATTTCACTCATAAGAGGAAAGGTCTATTGGATGAGTTCGGTACACTCATAATTTATTAATACACTGATGCAAACGTCACGTCGTTGACTTTTGATGGCCTGTTCTAATCCCTAACCTTGCTGTCTACCAATCTGGAAAAATAACTTTAACAATATACTAACCCAGAGCATTTTTGTAAAAAGAGAGATCTGTAAAACTGGCAGTGGACGCTCATTTGGATCTCAGAAGGGGTGGAAAAATATTTTATTTTTTGCATGGTATACCACATGGGAATTTTGAAACTTTTCTTTAACTTATATCGACAGTAACTGTAAAAATTGCCAGATTAAGCCATATAAACTTTATAAAATGTACGCCAAAACTACTGCTTAGATCGTGTCTAAGTTCATTTTGTTTTATTTTTTTAGATGTTGAACGTAAACCAGACGTAGTGTTGACGACATCGTCGAAGATTTTAGTGAGTAATGCGAGTGTTTGTAAGTCATGCATATCACTTGGTACGGAGAATAACAACATTATGACTTGGGACAAGTTGACAGGTACTACACTAAGTCTTGGCTAAGTTTTCAAGCTATATACCGATTGATCAAGCCTGAATTTAAAGCCTGAATTTAAAACCTGAATTTAAAACCTTAATTTAAAACCTTAATTTAAAACCTTAATTTAAAACCTGAATTTAAGGCCTGAATTTAAAGCCAAAACCATTATGCTTCAGGTTTACCACTGGCAATCGTGAACCTACCAAGCACTAGTACCATCATAGCCTTGGATTTCATACCAACCATCAAAGAAAATAGTTGCACGTCATTATATCCAAAATTGTTGGTATGTTGTGCTGATGGTGGTCTGTTCATGGTGGAATATGGTGATAATGATCAGACAACGATTGTCAAGTTACCTTCAAGGTGAGTTTAAGTGTCAAATATCAGTATGAAACCTTGATTAGGCTACTTCATTAATACTGTATAGCTCTATCAGTTCCAAATTGTTCTTCCTTGAGGTTCAGTAAGGATCGTCTCTTATTGATCCAGTGTTAACTACAGGAGGAAACCTAAACTAAACTAACTTCATTTATACTGTATAGCTCTCAGTTCTATAACTGTTTTTCCTAGAGGTCCACTCAGGTCCAGTAAGAATTATTTCTTGTTGATCCAGTGTTACTACAGAAGGAAACCTAAGTTATCTTTGTTTATGCTGGATAGCTCTATCGGATTTAAAATGTTTCTCGTTGAGGATTAGTAAATAGCATCCCTCATTAGCTGAATATAAGGAACTATTTACGAGTCTAGTATAAATATAAATTTTAGCTCGTTCAAGATGCGAGACCCTGTTGTGCAGATGACTTGTCTTTTGAATCTATCACATCTGGTAAGTGTTCGTTCACTTTTATGCAATCATAAGATCTTATACGCTTATAATTTAAAAAGCACTAAGTTAAAACCGTATAGTGTATATACAATCATTAGAGAGGATTTGATTTGACTTCCACTACTGGTACTATTAACTAATCGGATGCTTTAAATCTTCCATAGAGAGAGATATGAGTGAGAGACAGGTAGTGGTGGTGAAATTTGAACCTCTCTAATACAATCATTATGACAGCCACCATTCATGATCACCATCACCATTTTATCGTTAGAAGTAATTAGTAACTACTAGCGGTAACTATAGGCGTATGCTGTGACTAATTGCTCGATTAGGTTTATTACAAACATTACACACCGACAACTACATCTGATCTACGTACCATCCTTTGACCCAGGTACTTATTCAGAGGAAGTCTGGTAAAATCATGTTATTGGATGTCTCAACAAAAATACTAAAGTGTCAGATTGGTCTTGCTAAACCGCTCACAATGTTAAATGGATTTTGTTATACACATGTAACGTCAACCCTGTACATGAAAGGTAAAACTTACTTAATATATTATTTATATAATATTTATTTTGACGTCTCACGTACAGAAACTGAGGGAGTATCTGTATTAGAGCAGGATTTACAAGGGGTACAGAGGGATGCCTTGGTAACTAAGGATGCAAGTGGGGAGGGGGAGATACCAATTTCTTCATCAAAACCATTTGTTATTTGGAAAGGCAATATCCAACCATGAACTGTCTTTGCCAGTGTAGGTAGTGCCAATCAAATGAACAAGCTTTCGTTGGTAGGAATGCAACTACCTGGCAACAAACAGGCCTCGAATTTAGCGGCGGCCACTGGCGGCCGTTGATGCCCTACTTGTTGGCCGCTATGCCCTCGAAATATACTGAAATCCACGGCCAGTAGTGGCCTGCCCTCAACCACAGAGTACAGTATACTGTACTTATGCTTTAGAATACCAAGTGTATCATTTGTAAAATTTGTAAAATTGGCAATAATCACTTAATATGTACTGTACAGTCTTATTAGTTATAGTTTAATAGATAGTTCAGATACATGTAAATACGATATGAATAGTTTTGTTTGGCATTTTTTTAATTGTTTATTTTTAATTTTTAATCTGTATATTTTTCCTGTCTCATGGTAACTCAGACGTTATTTGAAACTTCAAAATGGCAACTGAATAAAATTTTCAAACTGGCCTTGATGCCTTGAAAAACTTAGTAACATTTAAGCCCAAACTGACCTTGCCTTTATTTTTCCCAAATTCGAGGCCTGAACAAATATATAAGGAGAATTTCAACGTTTCGAGCGAAGGCCCTTCGTTAACTCCAGACGAAGGGTCTTCGCTCGAAACGTCGAAATTCTCCTTATGTTTTTCAGGTAGTTGCATCGCTACCAACGAAAGCTTGTTCAATATCCTACCATTCCTATGAAGAAGCGGTGCTTGTAAGTGGAGGTTCAACTACATTGTGATGTTTTCAAACTCATCTGTATATTTAGGTGGACGTAAAGATGAATACAACGAGGAGATATTACCAGAGGTATGTCTACTAATAAGAAATATAAGATTCCCTCAATTTGTAGGCTGACTTGGTTTTTCGGTTTGGAGGGAAAATGGTGTTTGGAAATTCGACTACAGAGTAAACCTAAATATTGTAAACCAATGTTAAACTGCCATTACAATTGCTGTATAAACTATAACGTCTGTTTTTTGTTATTCTTTTCTAGAGTGTATGTGTTTATAAAATGAAAGTGGACACGTTTCCTGTTGTGAAGATGTATTTGGAAGATTCAACTAAAGTTGAAACAAACAGAATTTTGGAAGGTTTTGATAAACGTGTTGCTGCTATAGAACAGGAAAGGTAAGGATAATCCATCTTCACTAGACACTAAGCTAACTTTATTTATACTGGATGGCTCTATCAGTTCTAAACTGTTTCTCTAGTGGTCCGGCCTGAGGGTCATCTCTTGTTGATTTAGTGTTACTACAGGAGGAATCGATGAAATTGTGGTCAGTGAACCTGTATGGGAAGCGCTTTTCTGGTCATATATGACAGAAACGAAATTGTAATCAAGTCACAGAGGTTTTAAGCCATATCTTATCGCGTTCATACTTGTAGGATCTCATCTTATGAAAAACGACAGAGAAATCACAAGACAAGATGGCGGCAGCTGGAGGGTGAATCGAACCGCATGAAAAGACCTGCAAATGTAGGACAGTCACTATGGTTTACTGGAACTATTGAAGTCTGAATGAACCACGTTAGAAAAGCTGGGGTTTTGTGCCGTATAGGTTTTACTGAGCACTATCGCGCAGCAGATGGTGGTCAACATACAGTTATCAGAGTGAAAAAATAATGTTTATAATTCTTCTCATTGTATATAGTAGTCTTGTATTTGGAAGCAAATAAGTAAACTTGAGAGATTTCGTTTGATTCTGTTGTTTCCATAAGTGTCAAACAGTTTCGAGTTGATCACCATCTTCAGTTTGTCCCGTCGATTTCAGTCCAGTTATATATATCTGCCAGTGGGGGAAAATCTGAGGAAAATTATATCAAGAAAGCTATTGGAAATTTTTGGCGAAAATAAATGTTATAGTAAAGTTAATTTATTATGTTTTAGCATTGTACTTCAATACTATATTAACTGGAAATGCTCCTGTATTTAAAATACTAGATAAAACAGTGCAAAATTAAAAGTCTGATACAAAAATCACCCGAGAAATTTGTAATTTTTTTTTTGAAATTCCACTGTTTAATCTGGAAGCATTTCCCGCTGGGACAAGAAGGCGAGGGCACTAAGCTCCACGTTGTTTTAAAAGGTTAAAAAATTTTCAAAAACAATAACAAAGAAGTATTCAAATATATTGTGATGTTTCGGACGTAAAACAAAGTAAACTTTAGTTCTTTCGAGCAAATTTTAAGCTCATGGCAACCATGAATGTTGGTTCTAGCGACATAACCAACCAGGATGAAATAGCGCGCGAAATGGCAAGTGCGATTGCAGACGATTCGTCGACAAAAACAAGTTCAAATTTTGACCAAGGAGAGCTAGGTCAAAGTACTAATCTTGTGTCTAGCGAGTCGGGAAGTTTTGTACGAATTTCAACAACAGAAGGGGGTAAAGTTGCTGCTTCACAGGCGGCTAAAACTGGCACGGTTGCTTTAAATTTTGGCGAGGGAAGTGGACCAGTAATTCAAGATGACAGCAGCCAAGTTTCAAGTCAAGGTGTTTGGGGGTGGATAAGCAGTGCTGTTGGAAGTGATATTGTTGAAACCACTCAGAGATTGGGCAGAAATCTTGTGAAAAAAACTAAGGTAGTGTGCAAAAGATTGTGTTGTTCAATAAGCTGTTGTGGTTTGTGTTTGAACTCCCCGCGAAAATTCTGTCTCTATTTATTTCCACCATCCTGGGAAGGCCGGGCAAACCCCCAGGCATTGGGTACTTCCTCAGGTAGAAGAATTTGCATCACAGATTACGTCATCAGTTAGTTATAGTGATTAGTGTTGAGGTTAGGGTTAGGGAAAGGGTTAGATTAAGGATTAGGCTTAGAGATAGGGATTGGGTTATATCTGACGCCACAAACAACACAACTAGCCTATCATGTGATCAGTTCTCTCCCCAAGGAACTAGTCCAGGCATTTGTAATTTTTTCGTGTCAAACTGCCCACCCTCAGATGGGGAAAACAAGTCAAATACTCCGGGCAGGGATATACCAAACCAAATTATGTATTAAAAAGAAGACAAGCATGCACTCACTCCATTAATTAGCACTCCAATTCGTTGAGTTGCAAAAAGCTATTAATTCTTCCATTGCATACTAGTATATTAAAAGCTTGAGTTCTAGTGCTCATATAAAATGAACATTGCATGCATTACATTATTCAGCTCACCCCCCATTGGTCAGTGTTAGCCAGTAACGAAGTAAATTTACTTCGTTAATTTACTTAAGTAAAAAAAATCAGTATTTACTTGTAACGAAGTATTTTTTTAATGAAGTACTTTTTACTTGTAACGAAGTACGATTTTTGGTAAATATTTACTTTTTTACTTCGTTACTTTTGTTATATTTTGGCGAAGTAAAAAAGTATTTCTCAAAGCGGTGAGTGGATTGGAATACATATATATGGAGATATTTAAAGATGAAAGTTGTTTTACCACGTTACTTACACGTCTGAGTGTTCTATTCCTACTTAAACTTTGCGAATTTATGTTCTATTTCAGTAGTACTTTTACTTAAGTATATTTTCCCAATACTTTTCTTTTACTTAAGTAAAATGTTCAGGCTGTACTTTTACTTTTACTTAAGTAAAATTTTCAGGCAATATTTTTACTTTTACTTAAGTAAAATTTTCAATCAATACTTTTAGTTCTACTTAAGTAAAAATTGAGGTGTTACTTTTAACTTTTACTTAAGTAAATATTTTGAGTACTTTGCTGAATACTGCCATTGGTGCTTTTCAGTGACCGATCACATCAAGTATTACGATTATTTATGTTATTTACTTATAGACTATTTATCTTTACAACAATTGATATATTACTTTCCTAACTGTGTTTATCCTAATCCACCCTGACAACTTGCCCTGTGGGAGGAAACCAGAGAAAACCCACAGCTTTTGGCATAGCGTTGACTGACTCTTTTCCACAAACTCAGAGGTGAAAGCAGTGGCGTAGCCAGAACGATAATTGGGGGGGGGGAGCATATTCATATATTTGTGTTCACATACCATAAAAACAATTGATTTCAAAAGAAATTAATAAAGCAGAACACAAATATATGAATATCCCCCCCCCCCCAATTATTGTTCTGGCTATTCCACTGGGTGAAAGGCACTTGCTCTGACGCCTGCGCCACTGAAGCCCCGGAACCACAGAAAGCTTGGGTATGAGATTTGCACGAAACCAGAAATTAAAGAATTAAAGCACGGTCAACATCCCACCCCTGTGTCAAAATTTGTGGTAAAATCCCCCTGGATTCCCCCCCCCCCCCCTCAGGGTTGGGGGAAAGAAATGATAGGTGCATTACTTGCCTATGAAAAGAGTGATTCATTTGCCCATGAAAGAACAATTTAGAGGGTGCCTGAGTTGTTTTGTTAAAAGTTCTTTTACGAATGTCTCGAATTGATCAATGTTGTGAACATTAACCCTATTGCCTGTCAAGGAGGGAGAGCTGGCACACAATGGATTAATCTGACTAACTACCCATGTGTCTAGTTGAATACTCCATTAAGTTGCATTGGCCTCAATGTGCCCTACTTTCTTATTTTACTCTGTCTAATACCAGTCAGTGGGAGAGCACTGGCACTCAATGGGTTACTATTTAAAAGTTAGATTTAGTAATGCATTATTCAGTTTATTTTATTTTATTTTAAAATAGGATTCTGTGGACAGCGTAATAACAACGTTGGACCCAGGAATGGAGGACTACTTACGTAAGTGTGAAAACTTGCTTATGATGACCATGCTTATTATCTCCATTAGAAGATTGTGTTTTACCTTTAGTTTTTGTGTGTCTGTATGTTTGTGTGTTAGCAGATAAGTCAAAAGCTATCAATCATTTTAACTCATTAAGGTGCAACACTCTCACCTCGCATTAGACAGAGTAAAATAATAAAGTAGGCTGCATTTGGGTGCATTGCAGCTCATTGGGTTGATAGGAAAAGTTGTGGAGCTAGTGGTCATAAGAGAAGGACAACCTGATCAAATTTTGGTTAAATTTGCATAAACATTGAATGAGAAATTTACAAATGTGAATATAAATACTTGTCTTTCTTTGGCTGGGGTAGGCAGTCAAATATATGATATGCAATTTTTTAAAAAAATTAACATACACAAATACACCTGATGTTGCACACTGTTTTTTCCACCATGAAATTTTCCATTAAACTGCTGGTTATTGCCACTAGAATCATTTTTGAAAAAAATATTATCAACATAAACATTTTGTTTAATTTAGATAAATAGAGCATTAATTATTACAATAAGGGGAAACTGCCATAAGTTAATAATATATTCAGTCATTAACACACTGTACAATATGATTGAATATTATTGATAAGGATATACAAATATAGATTATTAATTAATATATACAATACATAATTAATATACAACTGCAGTAGCTTCACTTCTTGCCTCATGCATTTGTGGAAGTTCTTGCCAGGTATAACTATCGAATCTAAAACTTTCTACTGATTTTAAGATATTTTTTCTTTCATCTTGGCCTCCCATGACAATCACAGTGTCTCTGACAACTACAGCCACACATCCACTCCTCTTATGCTTCATGTCTGGTAACATACGACTCTTCTGAGTCTTGATGTTATACATTAAAACTTTGTTCAATGGTTTATTCTCACTGTCAGCACCGCCCATTATCATGACATTGTCATCATCCCACTTGACCGTGGCCATTTCATACACGGGGTAAGGGAGGGGTGCTAACTTCTGGCATTCATTCGTAGTGATGTCATACATAACATTTCCAAACTCTGAGCCAGTCCTAGAGACTCCTTTCCCTCCGACAATCAAGATCTTATCACCAAAGATTGCAACACCATGGCACCATCTTCCCTGTGGCATGGTAGCCAACGGTCTACTGGTATAAGGTTGAACAAGGGAAATCTCAGTAATACTGTCAGAACAGGCAATTTTATTAGCATCAACACCTCCAATAACTATCAGCCGTCCATTATAAACTACACTGCATTGTCCTGCTGACTGTGCAGGTAACTCAGCAGGAACATTTTCCCAAGGTATGGACTGCTCAACATGAACAGCATTCAAAGATAATTTTTCCATTGACTTGATCCAGTCTCCATCAAAACCTCCCACAACAAAAATGTGATTGTTGTGAACTACTGAAGATGCTAATTCCCGACATTTTCTCATTAGCTGTAGTGGTGTCCATCTTCCAGTTGCCAGACTGAACATTTCCACTGAGTTTAATATTCCATCTTTGCTCCTGCCTCCAGCAATAACAACTTTCAGCCCTATGTCCGTTCCATCGGCTTCTGCAATTCCTTTCTTCATATGTTCAGCCAGAACTTCATGCGATGTTTGTTGTGTCAGTCTTTCCAGTTGCTTCGTAATTTCATTTAAACTTTTCTTCATTTCTACATTGTCCGCTTTAAGTTGACGATTGCTTTCTTCCTGCTTGTTAAGTTGTTCTTGAACCAGTTCAACTTTTGCAACCACATTTTCCACCACTGCTTTGATGTTCTTTTCATTTTTGTCCAAATTTTCCACCAACTTTTCATTCATTGCTGCCAAATTAACTTTCACTGTATCTATTTCTTGCCGAATGTCCTTGCAGCTGTGACATTGGACTCTGCGTAGTTCACACACAGCAGTTTCATGATGAAGTAAATCTTGTTTATTCACCTCAAGTTGACATCCTTCATTAGAGCAGACTGCTGGGGCGAAACCGCATTCTGTAACATGCCTTTCAAGATCTCCCAGCTCAATAAACTTTCCACAACCACGATTGAAGAATTCACAGCGAATTTTTAATTCCGACAATAAGTTCGTCACGGTCCGAGGTGCTTGTCTTAGTGTTTCGACAGTGAGTGGTTGCATACAGGTCGGGCATGTCTGAAAGTTCATGAGATGTTTGGTGATACAAGCTCTACAGAAGATGTGTTCATTATGACACATGGCTGCATCTTTGATGACATTGGTGCAAATACAACAGTGCAAATTCTGGCTGACAATATGCTGAAACCGTTCATCTTCATAGCCAGTGTTGTATGATGCCATTTTCTGTCTACATAAAGGAAACATAGATTAATAATGTTAATTATGTTTATAACAATTTCTTGCGGTTAAAAACGATGTTAGATGTGGTTTCAAACTCTTAAGTATTAAAGAAGCACTACTCAAAATTCAAATATCAGTCAATTTAAATTAATGAAATAGTTCTGCTTGGGCAAATACGAATTCTAAGTTGAAAACCGACCTTGGCACCTTGCAGCAGTGCTGTCATTATCACAGACACAGTCATAATAGATATAATCTTTCTTTATATTAAGCCTAGTTTACACTATCAGTATCAAAGTTTTTGTGATCACAGTAGGAATTTTGCATTGGTAAACTCTAAGTTTGAAGGGTTTGTAAGAAATGTTTGAGTTCCCTCAAACATTTCTTACAAACCCTTCAAAAAGTTAGATTTTGCCGATGCAAAATTCCTACTGTGAATCTGTGATCACAGAAACTTTGATATAGTATAAACCAGTCTTTAGTTTAATTCAGTTACGTGTTTCCATTACATATTCCAGTTTGATATCAAACACAAGATCAATACACACAAATGGACAAATTTTACTCTTTCTACCATCATCTCATCAACCTATAAATGTCATTCCGGCTTACCTTAGCTTTACTTCATTGAGGACTTGTATTGTAGTGTATTCACATCGTTAAAATTTAGACCAGTGTCCTTGATTTCATGAAAAGAATGAGCAGTAGTCTGTAGATGTTTAGTTTCGGTTTGACTTGAATACGCCTTAAAATAGCTGAATATTCAATTACATTGAAATCGCGACATTGTGCAAGTCTTGTGACGAAAGTTCGTGACCCCATAGATTAGAGGGCCGGAAGTTGCATTTTTCGTAACTTCTCCTGGTTACTGTAGGTCTAATAAATGTATAAAAATTCCACTCAAAATTTTCATCTCCAAAACCCTTCAACAATTAGTTATACATCGAGTGAGATGCTTAAAATCCATCAATTGACCACTTGCGTAATAGACTAAATTTTGATCTAGACAAAAATTTCATCACAGCTTGAAAGCGCATCACAAAATTAGTAATATTCCAAAGTTTCGTTGCGAAATGTTGTAAAATGCGGATAATATATAGCCTTGCGAAGTTTGCCGTTTTTCAGTCATTTTAGATTAATACAAACGTGAAATTGACAGCCCAATCGGGTGTTGGGGCATCGATTTCCCGTTTGTAATCTAAAATGACTGAAAATTGCAAACTTCGCAAGGCTATATTATCCGCATTTTACAACATTTTGCAACGAAATTTCGCAATATTACTAATTTTGTGATGCTCTTTCAAGATGTGATGAAATTTTTGTCTAGACTTGTTTAGATCAAAATTTAGTCTATTACGCAAATGGTCAATTTACCCGTACACCTGCAGTACATTGGCATCAACAGGGGTGGAAAACATATATAGGCGAGCATGCGAGCACTGAAATCGGTTAAACATCTGCGACATCTGCAGGAAATTCATTTAAATGAAGATTTGCTATTGCGAATTTGAAGGAAACCTTAACACCCATCCAGCATGTCCCAGTATGGGCGCAACAACAAATATGGTTGACAGACATTATTCCTTGAATTTAAAACCATGGTCAGCTAGAACACTATATGTTTATGCACATGCAGATTTGGGTCATTTGGCACAAAAATACTCCGTTGGTCTGCAGGAAATTCTATTTCTCCAGGTTGTGCTCCCAGGAAGAGAATTCTTTTTTCCTGCCCTGGGCATCAATTTTGTATTTATACATGAACTTGTGGTTAGAGTTTGACAACTGACCTCTGTATTGCTCAATTGGTTAGAGCGCTACATCTACATACACCGAAATCACAACTGCTCCTGGGTTGGTTTAATAAATGTATGAAAATTCACAGTCGAAATTTCCATCTACAAAACCCTTCTCAATAGACAATTCCAGTTATCGACTAATTTTTTATCTAGACAAGAAGGACGAAATATATTATATCATTTATAGCTCAAAAGAGCATCCTAAAATTAGTAAGATTGCAAAGTTTGGTTGCGAAATGTTGTAAAATATGGAAAATATATAGGCTATATAGCCCTGTGAAATTAGCAAATTTAGAGTATTTTAATATTACGCGCGGCAAAAATAACCATTTTTGAGCCGAAGGTGGTGCATTTTCCCTCGCGTAATACAAGACATACAATGCACAATAGTACAATGCACCATGATAATTTCTCATTTTACTCTGTCCATTGCTATATGATTTACTCGTCAAAGGGAAGTGTTGAAGATGGGGTTAAACGTTCTAATATTTGAACAGTAATAGTTAAACGTAATTGAATACATATACTGTAGAACATATTACAACAAGAGATCACTGGATATTACATTTTAGTCAATTTACATCTAGTTCCATGCATTTCTGAAAGTTTTTTTTCAGGTGAAATAATCGAATTTAAATCATTCTACAGTGTTTAGCCACCATGTATCAATGTGTGTATGTTTGATTAACATTTACAAATACAAAAATAAATATATTGTTAATATACGCAACAGACTGTCGCAACAATATATAATTAACACACAACTGCTGTAGCATTGTATCTTTCTTCATGCATTTCTGCAAGTTCTTCCCAAGTAAAGCGATCGAATCTAAAACTTTCTACAGACTTTAAGTAATTTCCTCTTTCATCATAGCCACCCATGACAATCACAGTGTCTCCAACAACTGCAGCCACACATCCTCTCCTCTTATAAAGCATCTCGGGTAACATATAACTCTTTTCACTCTGAATATTGTACATTAGAACTTTGCTCAATGATCCTGATTTCTTGCCCCAGCCTCCCAATAAAATGAAATTATCATTCCATTTAATCATTGCCATGCCATAGACATGATAAGGGAGTGACGTCATTCTCCTGAAAACATTCTCAGTGATATCATACTCTAATACAGTGCCTTCATTCAAAAGTCCTCCAACAATCAAAATCTTATCACCAAACAATGCTACACCATGATAACTTCTTCCCTGTGGCATGGTAGCCAACACTTTACTGATGTAAGGGGGAAGAAGGGAAATCTCAGTTATTCTATTACTACTAGGTGAGGCGAAAATATTATCAACACCTCCAATCACTATCAAATGTCCATTATAAACTACACTGCAGTGTTTTTCTAAAGGTACAGGTAACTCAGCAGAGAGGTTTTCCCACGTTGTTGACTGATCAGCCTGAACAGCAATCAATGATAATCTCTCTATGGATTTGACATAACCTCCACTGACAAAAATGTGATTGTTGTGAACAACTGAAGATGCTCCTTCGCGATATTCTCTCATTGGCTGAAGTGGTGTCCAGGTTCCATTTGATAGACTGAACATTTCAACAGAATTTAACTTTGCGCTCCTATTCTTGCCTCCAGCGACAACAATCTTCGGCTCTCTGTCTACTCCATCTGCAGCTTCTGCAATTCCTTTTTTCATTTCTTCTGCCTGAACTTCATGTGATGTTTGTTGTGTTATTCTTTCCAGTTGTTTCGTAATTTCATTTAAACTTCTCTTCATTTCTACATTGTCCGCTTTGACCTGGCGATTGCTTTCTTCCTGCTTGTTAAGTTGTTCTTGAACCAGTTCAACTTTGCTAACCACATTTTTCTCCACTGCCTTGACATTGCTTTTCAGGTTTTTCTCAATTCTCCCAAAGTCTTTCTCATTTCTGTCCAACTTCTCATTTATTGCTGCCAAATTAACTTTCACTGTATCCATCTCTTGTCGAATGTCTTTGCAGCTGTGACATTGAACTCTGCGTACTTCACACACAGCAGTTTCATGATGAAGTAAATCTTGTTTATTTACCTCAAGTCGACATCCTTCGTTAGAGCAGACTGCTGGGGCGAAACCGCATTCTGTAACATGCCTTTCAAGATCTCCCAGCTCAATAAACATTCCACAACCACGATTGAAGAAATTACATCGAATTTTTAGTTCCGACAATAAGTTCGTCACGGTCCGAGGTGCTTGTCTTAGTGTTTCGACAGTGAGTGGTTGCATACAGGTTGTGCATGTCTGAAAGTTCATGAGATGTCTGGTGATACAAGCTCGGCAGAAGATGTGTTCATTATGACACGCGACTGGGTCTTTGATGACATTGGTGCAAATACAACAGTGGAAACTCTGGCTGACAATCTGTTGAAACCGTTCATCTTCATAACCAGTGTCGTATGACGCCATGTTCTGTTTACATTATAGAAAAATACATGTATATTGGTGATGTTTGTATCTGGCTACGTTTACACTATAACGGATAGTTTTCCATAGCGGCGCGAAAAAGCGCTTATCCGATACGGAATGTACAACTTTCAGAAGCTGAGCGAAACAACATCTCCCTGTTGCAATAATTCCTCTCGAAGTAGCGTTCCTAAAAGGTACGTATAGGTGCTTTTTTACGTCGCTACGGAAAGCTGTTCTGTACAATGTAAACGTAGCCTCTATTTTGTGTGGGCAAAGATGTGAGCAATTGTACTTTTTAAGAAAGTCTTTACTTCGTGAGAATGTACATAAAAGAAACGATTGAGACTTGAGAGCAAACAAGTGATGCAAGATGTTTCCTTTGCACATATATTACATCATTTACATGTACGTCGTTTTGTTAAAAATCTTATGGTCATGAACGTCAAAATTATAAATTATACCGTATAAAGTACATTTTAACACTCACAGTATGGAAATGAGAAAATGATGTTACTGTAAATGTTTCCATTACATGGTTTTGCCATCAAACACAAGAAGTCAAGATCAATATGTTTCAGACAGACTACAGAACAGTAAATATATAATTTCATTCTGTCTTACGACTCTTACCTTCGCTTCACATCGCGTTTTACATCTTGTTATTCAATAGTTTATTCACACCGCTGAAGTTTAAAACACTATCCTTGAATTGAGCAAAAGAATGAACTGTATAGCATGAGAGAACAGTCAAAAATTTAAAATTCTTTGAGATCAAGTGTCGTCAAGTGTCTGAGTTTAGTTTCAGTTTGAGTTGAATACGCCTTTAAATTCCTGAATATTCAATTAAATTAAATTCAAATTGAGCTAAGTCTTGTGATAAAAGTTCATGACCTATAAGCTTCCTGTGTTAACTTTTGCCAGTATAGATTGCGCAATTCTAGCTAGTTCGTCTAAACAGTTAACCAGAGTATGTACCTGCGTTTCTTGTTTTAACATGGTTAAAATCTTGTTTTAACATGGTTAAAACCATTACGCCACAATGCGCCATGAATCCCATGATAATTTCTCATTTTAATATTTGAACTGTATTAGTAAACATAATTGAATACATAAAACATATTATTACAACAAGAGAGCACTGGATATTACATTAGTCAATTTACATCTAGTTTCACGCGTTTCTGAAAGTTTTTTTTTCAGGTGAAATAATCAAATTTAAACTGATCATTCTACAGTGTTTAGCCACCATGTGTCAATTATGTGTGTATGTATGATTAACATACAACTGTTGTAGCCTTGTATGCAAATAATTAACATACAACTGCTGCAGCCTTGTATCTTTCTTCATGCATTTCTGCAAGTTCTTCCCAAGTAAAGCGATCGAATCTAAAACTTTCTACAGACTTTAAGTAATTTTGTCCTTCATCATAGCCTCCCATGACAATAATAGTGTCTTTGACAACTGCAGCCACACATCCTGTCCTCTTATAAAGCATCTCGGGTAACATATAACTCTTTTCACTCTGAATATTGTACATTAGAACTTTGCTCAATGGTCTTCCTTTCTTGCCCCAGCCTCCCAATAAAATAAAATTGTCATTCCATTTAATCATTGCCATGCCATAGACATGATAAGGGAGTGATGTCATTCTCCTGAAAACGTTCTTAGTGATATCATACTCTAAAACAGCGCCTTCATTCAAAAGTCCTCCAACAATCAAGATCTTATCACCAAACAATGCTACACCATGATATCTTCTTCCCTGTGGCATGGTAGCCAACAGTTTACTGAAATAAGGGGGGACAAGGGAAATCTCAGTTATTCTATTTCTACTAGATGAGGCGAAAATATTATCAGAACCTCCAATCACTATCAACCGTCCATTATAAACTACACTGCAGTGTCCTTGCATTAGTACAGGTAACTCAGCAGAGAGGTTTTCCCAAGGTGTGGACTGATCAGCATGAACAGCATTCAATGATAATCTCTCTACGGATTTGACATCGTCTCCCATGACAAGTAACTGATTGTTGTGAACAACTGAAGATGCTTCTTCGCGATATTCTCTCATTGGCTGAAGTGGTGTCCAGGTTCCATTTGATAGACTGAACATTTCCACAGAATTTAACTTTCCGTTCCCATTCTTGCCTCCAGCAACAACAATCTTCAGCTCTCTGTCCATTCCATCAGCTTCTGCAATTTCTTTTTTCATTCCTTCAGCCTGAACTTCATGTGGTGTTTGTTGTGTCATTCTTTCCAGTTGTTTCATAATTTCATTTAAACTTTTCTTCATTTCTACATTGTCCGCTTTAAGCTGACGATTGCTTTTTTCCTGCTTGTTAAGTTGTTCTTGAACCAGTTCAACCTTAGCAACCACATTTTTCTCGACTGCTTTGACATTCTCCACATTGCTTTTCAGGTTTTCCTCAATTCTCCCGAAATCTTTCTCATTTCTGTCCAACTTTTCATTTATTGCTGCCAAATTAACTTTCACTGTATCCATCTCTTGTCGAATGTCTTTGCAGCTGTGACATTGAACTCTGCGCAGTTCACAAACAGAAGTTTCATGATGAAGTAAATCTTGTTTATTCACCTCAAGTTGACATCCTTCGTTAGAGCAGACTGCTGGGGCGAAACCGCATTCTGTGACATGCTTTTCAAGATCTCCCAGCTCAATAAACTTTCCACAACCACGATTGAAGAATTCACATCGAATTTTTAATTCCGACAATAAGTTCGTCACGGTCCGCGGTGCTTGTCTAAGTGTCTCGACAGTGAGTGGTTGCATACAGGTCGGGCATGTATGAAAGTTCATGAGATGTGTGGTGATACAAGCTCGGCAGAAGATGTGTTCATTATGACACATGGCTGCATCCTTGATGACATTGGTACAAATACAACAGTGCAAAGTCTGGCTGACGATATGTTGAAACCGTTCATCTTCATAGCCAGTGTCGTATGATGCCATTTTCTGCCGTCTGCATAGAAAAATACATAGTTTAATGTTCATATCAATTTCTGTGGGCAGAACATTTGAATCCAATTGTATTTTTTAAAAACCAACATCTTGCGAAATATACATTAGAGAAACGATACTAAATGTTGTTTTCAATTCTTCTAAGTAGAAACACTTATTTAAAATTCATGTATTCATGCACGAGACGATCCTGCTTCGAGAGAATCGGGCTAGAAGCGAGCATATAGGAAAGATATTCACGCATGGTTGAAGGCCCTTTGTCTGGGAGTTAGTATTGTGGGCCTTCGCTCGAAACGTCGAAGCTATATAATGTTTATATTTCAGTTTAGCCCTTTAGATCTAAATCTTTCAACTCGCGAATATTGTTTATCGCTGCCTCCAACATTCAACTTATAATATAATAAAATACATGTAATTGAAGTAGGTTTAAAACTGCCATGAAACGTGTAAATATCAATTTCTTTGTTAACTCATTGTGTGCATATGTAGCCACGTTGAAGCGGTGCTGTCGTTTATCTGCTATGCTTATTGAAACTTCCTTAAATAGATGGGTTTTAGTTATGTGTTTTACATCGTGCTAGACATGCATGATATCAAATGTATGGACATGTATGGGAGCAAGAAAAGGTGCTAAATGTTTCCATCACATGTATTGCCACCAAACACAAGTTCAATACATACCGGTACCGTACAGTGAACAATTTATTCATGCGGATGTAGTGTCTCATTTTATAGTCATAGTGATTCAGTGAAACCAAACTAAGTAATTATAATTTCATTCAGTCTTACCTTTATTTCTCTCAGGATCTAGAGTTTGACTTCATTTACATCGCTTAAATAAAAATTAAAAACACTTGATTGGATCAAAAGAATGAACAGTAGTTTGAAAGGACAGTCAAAATTCTTTGAGATAACACGTCACTATATATGTGTACTTGTGTTTGGTTTCACTTTGAGTTGAAAATGCCTTAAAATTCATAAATATTTAATTACTGGTTGAAATTGCGAAATTGTGCAAGTCTTGTGACTAAAGTTCATGACCTCACGCATTCATGCATAGGATGTCGTTTGGATAGATTTAATTTTGATCTAATAGAAATATGCAGTAAAAATTATGTTAGTTTATTTAACTCTCTATACTGTATTGAACAAAACATTAATCGTAAAACACGGCTTCTTTCATTTCTAGATAAGACTGACTCGGATACAATCAATATCTTGATTACCTCAACAGATGAAGAGATTATCGATGGAATAAAAGATGGTTTTAAGCAAGTATTCTCGCACGTCTTAGTACGACATCAAGCATCTCGTTCCAGTCTCGCTCCTCTTCCCAACAGTTTTTCTTCGGCTTTAAAAAGTGCCAAACAACGAATATCCAATCTGCGTTCATCAACTCCTCCTGAAGTTGGGCTAGTTGTGATTGCTGTTGAAGAGTTTATTGCTGAAATAATGCCCGAAATGTAAGTACTTTGCTAATAAATCAGTAGAAGTTTGACCTCTCTGGGGTTTGTATAAATTTATGCAGTTATGGATCATATTGGATGACATGGAGAACAGTAGGATTTTGAAAACAATGGAAAGACAATCTCAAACTCATCAGAATTCATGAGTAAATTAGCCAACCATATTGCTTTATTTTGCTCACATGATAATACTGATCAAATCATATGATAATACTGATCAGTAGAACATTCTGTCTGATCAGTGGGTCATGACTGGATGGCATGGAGAACAGTGGGGTTTTCAAAACAATGAAAAAACAATGGAACATTCTGATCAGTGGATCATGACTGGATGACATGGAGAACAGTGAGATTTTCAAAACAATGAAAAGACAATGGAACATTCTGATCACAGGATCACTGACTGGATGGTATGGTGAACAGTGGGATTTTTAAAACAATGAAATTAAACAATGACACATTCTGGTCACTGGATCATGACTGGATGACATGGAGAACAGTGGGATTTTCAAAACAATGAAAAGACAATCATGGATCGTGACAAGATGGCACTATTGTTTATGAATACGAAGATAATCGTTGTTGTTCTATCAGACAATTACAACAAATTTCATTATGTTTCCAGGTGGTTTGGTATGCTTTGTCTCTGTCTAGATGACTCTTCACAAAAACTCGAAGTGGAAACATTCTCACAAGCTCTTGCTCTTCCTAACGATGTTCTCAAGAAACTTGAGGAGCTGACACCAAGTACTTACAGTCTCCGCTGGTCAGGGCTTAGTGTTAGCCTGGCCGATGTACTGCAAAGTAACTGGACCAACTTTTTAGCAGGTAAGGTAGAGAGTATTATTGTGCATGTAGATTTATTTTATCAGTAGCTGAGTTTCACAAAGCATTAGATTTCACAAAGCATTAGATTTCACAAAGCAGCAGATGATGGCCAAGCTGCAGTTATCAGAATGAGAAAATAATGTTGATTCTTTTCATTTTATGTAGTAGTCTTGTATATTTAGTGGCAAATAAAAAAAAAATGAGATAAAATTCAATTTTCTTGCTCTCAGTTATAATTGTCAATTTTTCTGACGTTGAGCACCATCTGCCGTAACACGAAACCCACCGATCGGTTGTATTTATGCTACAACATATTTGTTCTATAGGTGTCCCAAAGAGACAAGTTGTGACCCTGGCTGCTAAAACATTAGCTGGACAATATCGAGAAACGGTTCAGAGAAACGCATCTTTAATAGAGAACTCAGTCACACTATAAATTGCAACACGCCCGGGGATTTGTACGCAGATTGAGGAAAATCTTCGGTATTATTACAGGTATCATATAAATAGAATAGTTATACGCAGAGAATATATTTGAAATCTATATTCAGTGTTTGGAGTGATTTGGAGCTGATTGTTACTTGGTAATCTTCAACACACCTGACAAAACATAAGATTTTTAAAGTTTTTTTTGTTCCTTACACAAGCGCTATGATACAAAATGTTTCACAATGTGACACAATGTGCCCTTCACTTTTGGGACCAGGGATCAATATGACATGAACTGATAGAACTATCCAGTATTTAAATAAATTAGTCTCATTTATTCAACCATTTCATTTTATTTCCTGCAATTGTTTTAACAATCCACTTGGTTTGTTCAACAGTATCTCAGGTTGATCAAATTCCCTAATTTCTCCTTCATCTAAAACCATTACCCGATCGCAGTCTAATATCGTACTCAAACGATGCGCAATTGTAATCACCGTACATTCCTTAAAAACTTCACTAATTATCCTCTGAATTTCTTGGTCGGTGTTTCCATCTATTTTTCCGGTCGCTTCGTCGAATATTACAATTTTGTTGTTCTGTAGTAAAACTCGTGCCAGATTTAACAGCTGTTTTTCACCAACACTGAGACTTGAGTTATCATTGTCTAGCTCAGAATCGAGTGTTTTTGGAAGATTTTTAACTGTAGAACTCATTTTCGTGCGATTCAAAGCTTGCCATATTTCAGTGTCTGTGTGTTGGGCTAATGGGTCCAGATTTAATCGAATTGTACCATTAATTAGTGTAGGCGACTGTGAGATAACTGACAAACATTTTCGAGTTGAAAGCACATTGAAGTCTTCAATATTTAAACCATCAATCATAATCTCGCCCCGGGTCTCCGCCAGGCGCATGAGCGCGGCCACTAGAGACGATTTTCCCGCACCAGTCCTCCCCGCTATTCCGACCTTTTCCGACGAGTTTATCTTGAACGAAATATTCTTTAAAGCGTTTGGACTTCCTGTGTAGTGCCAGAGCGAAACATCCCTGAATTCGATCGCGCCCGTGTGTGGCCAATTTCTGGGAGGTGTTTTAGGCGAATCTTGCCCGCGTTCAGGCTGGATTCTTGTGTAAGCCAACACCCGTTCTGCTGAAGTCATCTGTGAGTTGACGTCACCTGTTACCCTGACAACGTAGTCAATCATCTGTGTCGTGTTGATTGCATACAGTATAGTCACTGCGCCCAGTGCTGAAAAACAACAGAACATTCTTAACTCGTATACTCATTCATGTACATTAGAAGAAGAATAACGCATTAGAAATTGCAGAAAAAATTGCGTAAACCGCGCCTGTAGACCTGAGTGGTCAGCTGCACTCTTCCTAAGCCAACCTCGTTTCCTGGTCGAGGTTAGGATATTGACTTTTGATGTACATACCTGCCGAGAGAGAGTCCGTTATGAAATGCACCACAATAACTGTTATGATCGTTGCAAGCGTGACACAGATAATACTGAAAACATTCGCGAACCAACGAATTGCTGTATAACTGCAAAGCACTGCCCTGTGATGCTCGTCTATGTGTCTGAAATATTGAATGGTAGGGTGGCAACCAGTGTCAGAGTTTGGATGACTGAGTGACGTTTACTCATCTTTACTGTAACTATCAACCTGACACGCTAACTAATTAATTAACTAACAAATTAATTAATTAACTAAGTGACTAATTAACTAACTAATTAATTAACTAACTAACTAATTAATTTATTAACTAACTGACTAATTAACTAACTACTTAACTACTAGTTAACTAACTAATTAATTAACTAATTAACTAACGAATTAATCATCTAACTGATGACTAAATGATGTTTACTGACCTTTACTTTAACTATCAACCTGACACGCTAACTAATTAATTAATTAACTAACTAATTAATTAATTAACTAACTGACTAATTAACTAACTGGCTAATTAACTAACTGACTAATTAACTAACTATTTTTTAATTGTTTAATTAACTAACTGACTAATTAACTAACTAATTAACTACTAGTTAACTAATTAATTAATTAATTAACTAACTAATTAATCAACTAACTGATTAGCTAACTAATTGAATAATAACTAATTAATTAACTAATTGGCACAGACCATTCGATTATTATATTATATTACAGAAAAATAGTAGCCAACTAACTCACCAACCAGCTAACTAGGAAATTGACAAGAGATTATTAGCTAACGTAAAAAGCTAATTAATTCATTAGTAAAGCAGCTAATCAACCAAGAACTATAACTACGAATCTTACTAAGCCAACTATTTAATTGATTACCAAAACTAACGTTCAAACTATCTAACCAACTATTAATGAACGAAACCCAAACAAACCAACTCTCTGAATAAAAACTGATAGAAAAGCGCAAACCTGAAAACTTGATTTGTAAAGTCCTTCTGTCGTCCATACACCCGGATATTTCGCAATCCTTCCAGAGTGTTAGAAAAATGAGAGTAGATAGGGCTGCCAGCAACGGACATGAGTCGTTTTATATCAGTAGCTGACGTGAAATAGACTTTGGAAAAGAAATAAAAGACTGGTAACGCTAGCAAGACAGGGATGATTAACAGAGGAGTGGTTATGGCAGCGAGCAAAATTGTTGCTACAGCTGGCGCGGCATAATGACACACCATGAAGATGTAGAATGGCAGTAGTTCGTCCAGATTGTTCATGTCTTGGGAAAACCGGTTTATAACTCGTCCAACCGGATTGACAGCGTGGAACGACAGCGGGGCTTTGAGCAGGCATGTTACCATCTTGTTGTGAACCTGAAATATAGCAGATGAGATAATTATCAGTACATTCATGGTACAACTTGTTGAAAAGATTTAATGTCTCGTATGTGGAAAGGTCGATTATCGCTCTACCCAAAGTCGTGGGCTTTCTCGTGGTATTCCTATTTCTTTCCATTTCCTTGAAGGAAATGTTGAATTAGAATAAATTCCAAGCTGATTCTTTCATCTTAGGGGCTGTTTATATGGCCCCGCTTACCCGGGATTCAATGAAGTGTGACGTAATTTGAGCAATTTAAATAAGTCGCAAACAAAATTGCTTGTTACAAATTGTATGAAATTCCATGTTTTAGACAAAAAACAAATGTTGTTGAATGTTATTAATCTACATAACTTCCAGCGCGTTCCTAATTTCGTTTAAACAATATTTAAAGTTATCTAACTTTTGTTTAGGGCTGAAAAACGTATTTCAATTGCTCAAAATACTTCACGTTATATGTAAACAACGAGTTTGAGTGTTTCATCAGGGGATCCAAACACGAGAAAACTGTATGAAACACGAGCGCGAAGCGCGAGTGTTTTATTGTTTTCGAGTGTTTGGTCCCCTGATGAAACACGAGAAACGAGTTGTTTAGACAACATCTCAAACGAAAACATTTCATTGGCTTATATATATTATTATAGTATATTGTTGTGTTTTGACTTGAATTTGTAATTAGGATCTCAGTTATTAGATGAAAACCGTTTTTCATCTAACAACAGTGATGGTATATGATTTTTAGCGTGTTTCCTTGCGGTATCCAACCTCAATCATGTGACGAATTAGGGTGAGTTCATTCGCTAATTTGCTCATGAATTATTAATGAGTTTGAGATACTTATTGAATCCAGGGTAAGCGGGACCATATAAACAGCCCCTTAGCTGTGATCACACATGAGTCATACCATGCCAGCCAGAGGCAACCTTGTATATACTCGATCAGGTTGAGCTGCGTCCTTTGTAATTCAGCTTAGTCCTCAGCTGCAAGTAAAGGTGATTTGCCCACCTATGTGTTAACATCACAATGGTTATAACGTTAACGCTTTCTGCTATACCTTGTAAGCAGCATTCATCAAGACCAGGAATATCGACAGCGTACCCAGAACCACTAATACTACCCCAGCAAACAGACATAACGTGTACACTAGTATTGCGTGGTTGAAACTCTCCTCGCCTTGGCCAGCTAACACCGGTAAACGGGAAGCTTTAATATCCACTAGAACTATGAAACCTATACAGAAGAATTCAAGATTTAGTGCTTTAAAGTTTTTTCCTTCACAAGTTTTATTTGCTCGTGCGTGCGTAGCAAAAAATTGACAATTTTCCTTGCCAAGGGAGCCTTGTTCCAAAGCTAGTCATGTCATCATTTGGGCAAGGAAAATTTGTTCGTGTGTACGGCTGCCAAGGAAAGCTTGACAAGTGTACAAGAAAAGACAGCCTTGGCATGAGATACATATTTAAAGGCCCGTTTACACTCGCAATTTTTGCTCTGAGTATATGTACCCTCATCCACGGTTACGTCATCTGAACATTCACTCACTCGTTCACATTCATCAGAAGAAGAAATCGCAGCAAAAATTGCAAGTGTAAATTCCGTGCACACAAGCAACAAAATTTGTCAAGGAAAAGTTGTCAGGGAAAAGTTGTCAAGGAAAAGTTGTCAGGGAAAACTTGTCAGGGAACTTTGTCAAGGAAATTTGTCAAGGAAAAGTTGTCAGGGAAAACTTGTCAGGGAAATTTGTCAAGGAAATTTGTCAAAGAAAAGTTGTCAAGGAAAAGTTGTCACGGAAAAGTTGTCAGGGAAAAGTTGTCAAGGAAAAGTTGTCAGGGAAAAGTTGTCAGGGAAAACTTGTAAGGGAAATTTGTCAAGGAAAAGTTGTCAAGGAAAAGTTGTCAGGGAAAACTTGTCAGGGAAATTTGTCAAGGAAAATTTGTCAAGGAAAAGTTGTCAAGGAAAAGTTGTCAAGGAAAAGTTGTCAAGGAAAATTTGTCAAGGACAATTTGTCAAGGAAAATTTGTCAGGGAAAAGTTGTCAGGGAAAACTTGTCAAGGAAAAGTTGTCAGGGAAAACTTGTCAAGGAAAAGTTGTCAGGGAAAACTTGTCAGGGAAATTTGTCTAGGAAATTTGTCAAGGGAAATTTGTCAAGGAAAAGTTGTCAAGGAAAACTGGTTGACCGTACGCATGAGAAGGTAAACTTGTCATGGAAAACTTAATGCTCGTCTTTACGGAGTTTTAGAGAGATTCAACTGTATCATTAGAGACCTTAAGATTGACGTTTACGGCAAACGTCAAACCGCTAGAGAGGTTTATGATTTTACAACTCTATTATAATAGCTTTTACACCAGTTTTGAAATATGTTAAACTTATTAAACTTGTGCTCTTTAGCAATGATTTAAGAAAGCAAATTAACCACTAGTCATGCCATTCACCAAAGGAGTAAACTAAGATTTGGCGTTTGAAGTTGGCGTTTGGCGTATAAATTTCATGCTTGAACTGCTACGAGGGCTTGTAGTCGTTAAAGCATGAAATTTATACGCCAAACGTCAACTTCAAACGCCAAATCTTAATGTACTGCTTTGGTGAATGGCATGATTTGTGGTTAATTTGCTTTCTTAAATCATTGCTAAAGAGCACAAGTTTAATAAGTCTAACATATTTCAAAACTGGTGTAAAAGCTATAATAATAGAGTTGTAAAATCAAAAACTGCGCTAGCGGTTTGATGTTTGCCGTAAACGTCAATCTTAAGGTCTCTAATATTTCTTTACCTTGACCGGAAAAGAATAGCAAAGCAATAATAAATAAAACAATTGCCGAGGCTCCGTACAAGAAATATTCCTTGTAAACTTTGAATGCCACTCTCCCAGTTTCACGCTCTTCTTCTTCAAGGTTCAACGTCTCCGCTTCCCCCGGTTCACTGGGGTCACCCCACACGTCGTGGTCTCCCCCGTCAGGCGTTCCGTTCCGTTGATCCAACTCTGGTTCAGCCAATGTGAGTTCAGCTTTGAGTTCTTCGATTTTCCCGCCTTTTAAATGAACGATATGATCGGCTTCGTGATAATATCGGGTATCATGTGTTGTCAGAAGAACAATCCGATCTGCTAGTAATCCCTTGATACACTGCCTGTGAAAAAAAAATTTTGGACTGTGCTTCAGATCTAGATTCGTTTGGGGGCAGTCCAGAGACAGATTTATGCAAGCATGGGTGGACTTTCTTGATACACCAACGAGGTTCAGATTTGACTTCCACTACCGCTACCATTAAGGGACAATTAACCAATCAGATGCGTCTGATATATCCGATTAACCAATCAGATGCATTTGATATATCCGATTAACCAATCAGATGCGTACTAAGCCAGTGAGAGGTAGCGGATGACTGGAAGTCAAATCTCAACCTCTCTACTGTCCCGTCCAAACCTACTCACCGAAACACATTTTCCGCGACTTTTGCATCTAACGAGCTCAGCGGATCATCCAGTAAATATATATCGGCCTGTGAGTATATTGCGCGTGCCAGGGCGATACGTGTCCGCTGACCACCACTTACTGTCGCACCGTGTTCTCCGATAAGAGCTAAATCCTGCTGGGGAAATGTTTTGAAATCCTTTTCCAGTTGACAAGCTCGGATTATTTCAGCATACAATTTTTCTTCGTAAGGCAAGCCAAATAATATATTCTCACGAATAGTTCCGGGGCAAACCCAAGGGGTGTCCGAAACATAACCGAGAGTTCCCGAGTACTTCACGAAGCCGTTCGTTACCAGGAGCTCTCCGCCGAGAACGGTTGCCAAAAGCGACGACTTACCGCTGCCCACTGAACCGCAGACTAGCACCAATCCTGCAGTAGCTACGTTAAGCGTGACGTCATTCAATATTTTCGCGCGGTTTGATTCGGGAGACTGGGGCAAAATTCGTTGGGGAATTTTGCAGGTCACGTCATGTAAGATAAGATATGGTGGCTCGTGCTTTTGATTTGCAGCTAATGATTTTTTGGGCAAAATGTTTTCTTGTGTGCATGTATAGGTTTCTGAGCGTAACAATGGAATCTTGGCAGAGTCTTTACTGACTGTCCCAGTAGGAATATTTTTAATATTGAATTGAGTCGTGATTTTCGGATCATATTCAATATTAAAATACTCGGTTCTTTGTAGAAATGCTTGCATGCGTTGCAAGGCAGCACGAACGTCGGTAATGTAACGAATCGAAGTGGGAAGGCACAGGCATAGCATTTCGCTCAGTTCGCGAAATAGCGCGATTATTGCGAAAAAATTGAGGTTGGGAATGTTTTCCTTTTGTGTGAGAGTTAAAACCAAGACTGTAATGAATGTGCCTAAGTGTTGTCCACATGAAATAAATGAGTAGCATGTCAGCATTATGATCCAACGCTTGGCTTTGAATTTGATCTCTTTCCTAGAGGGAAAAAATGTTTTTAAACTTTAATAAATATATTTTTATACTGGATAATGCTTTATTTATGCTGGATAGCTCTACTGATAAGTTCTAGACTTTTCTCTCTAGAGGTCCAGTAAGGATCCTCTTATTGATCCAGTGTTACTACAGGAGGAAACATAAACTAATCTAACCTTATTTATGCTGGATAGTTCGGCCGGTTTTGTCTAACTATTCTTTCCGGAGGTTCAGTATTGTTCATATTCCATTTGTTATTGGTTCAGTGTTACTACAGGGAGAATCACCAGAGGTAAATCTGCGGTGTTTGGCTGAACCAAAACTGAATCCCTATAAATGCTATTCCTCTATCGATGAAGTGTTACTGCAGGAGGAAACTGTAATAAGCGCTCCCCTCGCGTGCAACTAGGTTTGTGTGTGTTTGTGTTTGTCAGCGCGAAACTCAAAACTGAATATCCAACGCTTTAATACAAAAATTTGTGAGGTTAATAGAAATAATCCAAGGATCGATTAAATTTTGGTTGAACAGTTTGTCTTGCTTTCTCAGGCAGAGTAACCTGAATAATGCATAATTAGTCCATTAATTATGCCTGTAACTTAATTTGCTTGCGGAGGTATGCAGTCCCCTCTTATTAAGAATTGAATCAGATGGCTGTCTACTGTCCCGTCACAAGGATGTAAAATACAGGCAGTAACCACTGCCACCATCAGTTCTGAATACAAAAACATTTACGCTTACCACCGAGTCTGCCGTATTTTCTCTTCATAAATGTTTTCCCAACAGTTCAGTTTCAAAGAATGTATTAAGGTCAGTGTCTCTCGAATCACCCCAAGTCGTTCGTCCGACAATTGCGAAGCACAATTACGTAGTTTATAGTCGAATTTGTTCAGCAACCCACGTACTACCCCGAGAGCCAATAGGAACAAGGCACCGGGGATAATTTGCCAACCGATGAAGTACAGCAACCATGCTATTACGCATGCGCTGTACAGGGCATGTCGAATAGCGTAAGGAATAAACCATTCAGCACTTGTGAAAATTATTCTCTGAGAATCATTGCATACTAATTCCATCACATGACCGCTGTCCAAGGATATCTTACTCAGGCGCAAAATCTGAAAAGATATGTATAGTCGATCTGAAAAAGTTTACAGGATAACGCGAATACTAAGGGAACACTACATTATTTTCACATGTGAGATTGAGATTAACATTTCTATAGCGTAAATGCCCTTTTACATCAAGTATTACGCTTACCTAATTACATACCTATCCAAGACTATTTTATCTTTACAACAAGTCAATTGTGATATTACTTTCTTAAAACGTTGTTTATACTATTAATACTTTTCACACGAGTGGGCAACAAGAGAATCGAACCCGGCCCGGCAGATCAGTGGGCTTGGCCGCGAGAAGGCCTGGGACTAGGTTAAGTGAACCTTACCTTTCTATACAACAACCCCAAGATGGCAGCACGAGCCCGCACTCCAAGGACAGCACCATGCAAATGCAAATGATTTTGACCAATCAGCTTCATCAAAGATCCGATCGCTATGCCGTAGATATAAATGAAATATTCACCACGTGACTCATCATGGAAACTAGTGAGCTGACGCAATAGGTTGATAGCTGCAAACCAAACTATATTATCGCCCAAGAGATACGCCAGACCAGAGGGTACAAAATACCAATATTCCTGAAATGTGTAATATCTAAATATTGCCCGCCAAAGTTTGGGCTCTTTGCTCAGACTCCGCGCAGATAGTATTTCTTCGCGCCATTTTTCTTCCAAAAGGTCAGTCCGCTGACCGGATGTTTCCGCCTTCCTGAGCAGGTAAAGATCTTCGTGAGTCAGTGGATTGCGGGCGCCTTTCCATAGTAGCGGGAAAATCCACCAAAATATGAGCCTGGATATGAAATTCGCTTCTTCTTGTGGGTGATGTGGTTTTGACGCACCAGTCATTGTGTTCTAAATTCAAGCAGCAGTAGTTAAGCCTCGGTTAAACATGAATGAGAGGTGGTGAAAGTTGCAAGTCGCGTGTTTCCGTGACTGCCAACTCTTATCGGCTCTCATGCAAGGGCGTAGCTAGAGGGTATGTGTGT